ATTTTTCTAACTTCTATCTCTTATTACGCTATATCTAGAAGAGCTAGCTTTATAAAAGTTTTCTAGAAACCTTTATTACGTTATAAATACTATATACTATAAGTTTTATAGATTATTATAGAGATATAATAGTACTTACTAGAAGTAAACTAGATTTTTTCTTAAAAGTTAGTTAAATACGTATAGCTTTTTAATTACATAATATATTTTAGTATAACTTTTATATAAGGTGTAATATACTATAGAAAATATATATTTAAATTTTTATAAAAAAATATTAAGGTTTCGCTTAGTTATTTAAGAAAAACGAGTTAGTTTTCGTTAATTTTCCTTGCTAAGAAATTGTAGGCGGTTTGCTTATATAGACAGTTCGCTTGTAAAGTACGTTATAAGGTTTAAACTCTAAGAATAGCTACTTTTAGAAAAAGGCTTATCTTAAGCTTACGTAATTAAAAATATATAGTATAAATTTAATAGAAGGTGTATATAGTATAGTTCTATATATATTTAAAATTTTATAGAAAAATATAAAGATTTCGCTTAGTTATTTAAGAAAACTCTTTTAATTTTCCTAGCTTAGTGTAAGGGCTGGCTTCGCGGTCTCTACTGCTGTAAGCGTTCCGGAACACCTAGCTAGATAAGTTAGCTGTAGGCAGCACTATCTCTACAAGCTATAAGAATAGAGACGCTAGTAGAGTAGGTTAGGTTAAATTCAGCTATCTAAAGGTAAGAAGTAGAAGAATACTTCGAGAGGCTCTATATATATAGAGTGCCTAGTACTAAGACGCTAGGCAAGGTTATATAACTTAGGCGAAGCTATAGTATTAAGTTAAATTGTTATACTTAGTATTTTTAGAGCGTTTATTTATATAGAGCGTTCGTTTATAAAGTACGTTATATAGTAATAGCGTTAACATTAGAGTTTATAAGTTCTTATAGATTACTATAGATATTAGGTTTATTAGAATTCTAGAGTTAACGCGCACGCTTTAAGCTTAATATATTAGTAGACGTAGATTTAAGTACTTTAAAAACTTCTCTAATTTCTAAGAGGTTAGAGAGGATGCTCTTTACCTTATAAAAATATAGCGTTAAAAGTACTATAGAGCGTTGTAGAGTTTCGAGTTAAGCTTACTAGTGCGACAGGTATTCGTCGGTGGCTAGGACGAGGGGAGGCGTTGAAAATCGGCGCTTTTTTCGCCTCTGCGACATCGTTAGATAGCTAGAGAATATCCAAAATTGCTAAAAACAGCTGCAAAAGTAGTATATATTGATGTATCGGCGCTGTGTTGTGGTGTTGTTGACAGCCAGGGGTAAGGTCCTTAGTGCCGGAGTTCACCCCACCGCGAGAGCCTCCCACCTGGGCCGCACGGGCCACGAGATACTAGCCAATCATATCGAACATCTGGGAACCTTGCATTTGCCTTTGTTCGCGTCACTTCGCGCGTCCTCACCGCTTGATCTCTCGACTCCCATGGAGCTCCAAGCAGTACCTCTCTCAAAGGTATAGAGCCAGAGATTACTTCCCGTTGCAGCTTGGTTTTCTGACAATAAACTCAGCCTGTCATTGATATTCTCCAGGCGCGGAAACCCACAAGGGTTGCAGTGTTTCTGAGAAGAAAATCGCCCCTTTATCCTAATCCGTACGATGAGGTCGTGCAGAAGGCCTGCTCTACTCTCGGCGTCCCTCATAACGAAAGCCGACACAAGCTCCTTGCGATCCCAAGTGGCAACAGTTGACCATCTTGGTCTTCGATATTTTCCATGACGAATACGACGTGTCCACTGCCCACCGCGTGGTGAAGCTTCTAGTTATTCTAGTTGACTACGGCAAAAGACTCTCCTATGTCAGAATGGGGAGCCTTGATCTTCAAGAACATGTCAACGTTCACGTCGCGAAGCAACACAACTATAACGGCTGGGACGGAAAGCCGCCCTTCTTTGAAGACCAGACAGGCCCAGTGCCACCAAAGTATTATAATCCCCGCGACACCTCGATGTTGTGAGGACAAAAAGGTAAAAGCCAGCTCAAATCGCGTCTTCTCTACGTTAAACGCCCTTTCTAACGTCCACTCGAAGCTAAGCGCGACAAGAACACCCCCCCCAATACGGATTTAGAGTCGATCTACCTCCTCGCATTGCCACGAACCACAGGCTCCTCTATGCGCAGGACGGACCGGTGAAAGTTCATAGCACGAATGCACAAATCAAGCTTTTAGCGATGGATTATCGAATTTCCGCATTGGATCTCGGACGAGAGGGACAATATCGTGAATCTTGAGATCGTGACGGTTTTGGCAGAATGACCTCGAGACAAATGGCTCTGTCAGGTGCTTATAGAATGTTGGTAGCCTGGGATTACTCTTCAATAAAGGGTCATTTCGCTCAACTTCTATTTCAAACGTTCGCTAGAATGCAACTGGTAAAACTGAGCAAACGCTGTTAGTTGCAGATGGGGGATTTCTGACCGCTTGAATGGATGCTTTTCCATTTATAAGCAAGCCAATAGGTCGTGTGCTCTTGACACAAACAACAAACAGCGGCGCGGTATTCCAAATGTGAGCAGTGAAAGGATTGAACGTCTAATCAATAAATTGCAGCACCCTATCCTTCCTCAGCCTTGATATCATCAATAGCCTTGTCAAACGCTGTGACGATCGGCCCATAGAGAATCTCCGGGTCCTTGGGTGTCCCAACGAATAGACCCACAACTTGTGTGTTGAGCATGCTGTATGGAAACAAAATCCCTCGCAATTCTCTGCAAAGCGGTTTGACACAGTCGAAATGTGGCGCGAACTCTTCTAGGATATCTTCAAATCCATCAACACCCATATGCCCTCGTTTGGCGCTAGCAATCTCTCGGAAGCTGCCAGTGTACCAATTTGCTATCAGAGTGTCTCCCGGCCACTTCTCACCCCAGCCACGACGGGCGCACTGCCAGATAAGCACATAAAAGAACGACTCCAAATCATGCCGGTAGGTGTGGGAGATCCCTTGTAGGACTTCAATTGCCATGAATTCCATCGTGCCGGTGCGGCAACGTGCGCCGCTGCGCCCGCTGCCGAGCTCCTTAGCAAGGTCTAGGTCGATCAGCATCCCCATGATGCCAGTCTTTTGCGGGTCGGTTATGATAATGTTGTTCTCGGAAATGTCCCGATGCAGAATGTTGCCTTTGAGGTATAGAGACCTGTGGGCCTTGGTGGCATCTCGGAGTGCCCCTAGGAGTTCTGATATCTTCTCGTACTTGTAGATCGCCCGACCAGCGGGAGAAATTACGAGACAGCGAAAAATGCGATTGTCATATGGACCGTTATTGGGGGCGAGCAGACTTGTCCCCTGGGCTTCCTCCACATCGTACGTAACTTCGTTCTGCAGTTGGCTCGATCTCTGACTTTTGGATCTCGATCGCTTGGAGGGTTCCCGGCCAAGGTCGCTGGCCTTGCGCTTTCTTGACGGTTTGTCGGCCATACCCAGGCCATGGAACTCGCTGAATGATCCAGAAAGGAAGCTAGGTGGTCGAGACTGGGAGAAAGATTGCGAAAATGATGAGGCGGCGCTTGGAGCATCTCGAAAAGAGTATGGCTTCTTAAACGTCAGGCCTGAGCGCATCTCATGGATGCCGGTGATGCAGCGGTGACCGATCAACCTGGCAATGCCCTCGACTCCTCTCTCGTGGGCTAATCTGAGAAGGTCTGCCTCTGGTTTTCGCATGTTGGATGTCCATGAAAACTTGGCGACATAATCCCAATCCGCGGACTCCGAAGGCTTCGTGAGATAGCATGACGTCCCACGGCAGACGATCGCCCGCTGACGGGTGATGGGATTCGAGTCAAGCCGCAGCCTCTTCCTCCCTGCGGGCCCGTCTTGCTCAATGTGTATGAAGCGACCGTCCTCATCCCGCTCTGTAAATGTGTCCAAGCCCAGTTCTTCCTCATTCATCATTGTGTAGCCGGCGATCACCTGTATAAATCGTCCGGGCTCTTCGTGGATATCGAACGCACCAGGGCTGTAACATCCCGAACGGTCAAATACCCAAACCTCCATCTGGCGTCCGCAGATTGTAAACGCGTGAACGTACCGACGCGTCGGCTGACAGGAGAAAACATCCCGCACGTATCGGCCGATCTGGAGAAGCGTCCCCTTTTTGTTGTTGTTGGACGCCTTCAGCTCACCGATCACGTCGACGTCCCTCCAGTCGTGCGCTGCACCCGGCGGCTGCCCATTGTTTCGCTTGACAAAGAGATCGATTTGTCGCTGAGCTTCGGCACCGACAAGATCCTTCGGGCTTGTGGTCGAATAGTAACGGCGTTGTTCCTCTGAGAGGAAGTCGTCCTGGAAGCGGAACCACCAGTCCAGAACTTCGGCCTGCACGGGCGGATCAGGAAGATCGGTCCACGCGCCATCGACATGTCGGTCTTTGGTCGCCTCATAGACGTCCAAAGCACGGCCCGTCCAGTCTTTCCCCTCGAAGTATTTCTCAAAGAACCCTCCTACGCCGCGATATGTGCACAATCTGATCTCCTCAAAGACTTTTCTTTCCACCAGAGCACGGGTCTGTTCGGCGCCTTGCTGGGAAGCGGAGGAATGGGTAATGGGCGTGCTGTCGAACGTGGCGGGGATGTTCGCAGGAGGCGTCGCTGGGTTGAGCGTGGTGATGAGATCGAGCACGGCGCTCCAGATCTGAGAGTCGGACTCTTTTTGAAGGACAAGTATCACGAGCGGGCGGTAGTAGCTGTAGTTGAAGTGTCCTCCTCGAATGCGTTTAACGAGGCCTGCCAGTTCGATGACGACATCTCGGTTAATAATATTCGAACGAAGATCAAGAGCTGCTTCCATCCCTATAAAAGCAGAGAGGAGTCGGGATATTGCCTTCTGGCGATCTTGTTCAGAATTGTCGGCATCGTCATGCGGATTGGAGATCGAGGAGTAGGACTGTTCTGCGTCCTGGAGTGACTTCCTTAGGTGATCCAGAGAGGTGCCCAAGGGATGCCGCGCGATTACATCGCGATCATGTTCCGATAAAGTAGCCATTGAATCCGGCAACACGTCGAAAGCGCGACGACCGCTGTAATGAGGAGGTCGACAAGCGCAACAGACTTCCACAAGCGAGGTAATATATCATGGGGAGGCTGTAGATTCGGGGGGACCGAGGGAAGTACGAAGGCGTGTGAAAGGGTGAAGGAGCTGGGCTGGGAAAGAGAGCGATATTTTGAGGTTACGTAACCACGGCGTGGCGCAGCCGGAGGCCGTGCCGGAATTTATCCGGTCCAAGACTTGGATCGGCGATCAAAATTATCGGCACAAACTTTTGCCGATACCCCGACAGAACCTTGAGAAAAACAAGGGAGCAGATTGCTCATGAGCTAGGCATTGACGTCTGCCGTCGTACGCTCATCAAGGCCTTTGAGAAGGAGCTCTATCACCGGAGGAAGGCAACACAGAAGCCCTTCCTCACAGAGGAGCACAAGGCTTAGCGGGTGCAGTGGGCCTGGCAGCACCTCTGGTACGATGAGGAGCAGTGGTTAAGGGTTGGCTGGAGTGATGAGATGTCAGCTCGGACTGGCGCAGGAGAGGTGTACGTTACTCGACGGGCTGAGGAAGTTCTCCATCCTGATTGCCTGATACCTCGATTCAAGGCCTTCAGCAGCTGTATGGTGTGGAGTATTATCTCAGTACACGCTAAAGGACCTCTTGTCTTCTTTGAGAAGGAGCGGTGTACAAACGCAAAATGCACTGTTAACTCAGAAGTGTATATCCAGCATATCCTACCTCTTGTTTCTAAGTTCCAGGACGACTACCGGCGCAGGCAGCCATGTAGAGATGGAATTTATAGAGATTTTATCTATATGGAGGACAACGCTTCTATTCACGCGTCAAGGGCTACAACAGCTGCCTTCAAGGCTCGAGAAATCAACAAGGGGTGGTGGCCAGCTAACTCATCAGACCTCAACCCAATTGAAAACGTTTGGCAGCTGCTGAAATGGCGGCTAGCAAAGCGCTTTCCAAAGACCGACGCTGAGGTGAAGCAGTACCTTAAGGAGGAGTGGGAGAAAATTGAAGTTGATGATTACAAGAAGTACATTACATCTATGAGAGACCGCTGCTGGGCAGTGATCAAGGCAGGTGGCGGACACACAAAGTGGTGAGGATCAGGCTTACATGAGCTTTTGTATGTAATCTATATAGAAAATAACATCGCTTCGCCACTGCCTGCACGAGCCTGGTCTATGCGACGCTAGAAACCCGTTCATGGGACGGGGGTGTAGAATAGATAAGGTGCTGGTGGACAGGGATCAAAAGCGTGCCCTGGCCCCTATGGGAACCGTAGACGAAAGCCATGACGTGATCTCATACTTCATCTAATGAGTCAATGTCCCGGCTGCTTTGCCTTCCCTGCGCTGAGCCATGGGGAACGCGTCAATACGCTGGCGATGGGCGCAGACGTGCGCGCTTTGCAGCATCATTTCCCGCGATGCGAGGTCGCTCCGACTGCCGCTGAGTAGACCAGGACTTCGGTTGACGTCATACAAGTTAAGTAATTACAGGGCGCGGAGTGTGGTCCTAAAGTCCTCTCCCTTGACTGGCGGGCACGCGGGCATGGAGCTTCATATCAAAAGAGTGTACTGTAGAGTCAACCATTGCTTGCTATTCTATAAATCAAAACGCACTCTCCGTTTCTTAGGCGCCGTATCTTCAGCTACTTTTATCTCGGTCTGCTCCATCCCTCCCTCGTACGCATTCCCTGATATTTTATCTCGAAGTCCACAGTATTTCCGCGTCATCGGCAACGGCGGAGGCAAAATCGTGATTATCAAGCCATTCCTCAGCGGTTTGCTTCTCCGCATACTTCAAATAGAACTCGTCCAGAATATTGTTTAGGGCTAGAAGCATGGTAAGTAGGTGTAGGAGCGCATTAGAAAGGGACATACCGTCCAGAGCAGTGGGTCCAGATGGTTGCAAGGAGAATCGGGATGTATGCTCTCTTAACAATACGAGAGTCCTAGGAATGGTAGTCCCTTGGAACATTTCAGTATGGATTCCACCAAACAGGTAGGAAGCTAACCTTTTGGTATTGTGAACACAACAGGACGTTCCACCGAGATGCCATTCTCCTGATCGTCTACGTATTGATCCACGGCCGTTCGGATAATCTCCTGCATCATGAACGTGTTTGGCATTAGCGCGGCCCCATTCGAAACTGCTCCAAGCAATTAGTGAACCGTGCCAAATATTCTCATAAGAACTAACATGGCAAATTTGTGAACACAGCTGGATAAATAACGCCCCTTTCTGAGATTCTGACCCCATCACGAGGGCTCTGGTACTCTATCGATGCCTGATCCTGGTAGTCGAACAGGTTCGACTTTGCGCCAGCGTTGAGACGTAGTAAAGAAGCCGGAAAACTCGAGTGGATCGAGATTAGCGAAAAATCTCGTTTGCTGCGCCAATTCACGAGCCTTGATCGCTCGACGTTTACGCCTGAAGCGACCTTTCGGGATAAGCGAATAAGCATAACGTATCGGTTGGGGAACAATTAACGTGGAAGATGTTAGAACGAACACGGGTGAAGTTGATCGTGAAGACGATCAAAGGTATTTTTTCCTCGCGTATTTCGGATCGGGGGCAGTATTTGTCACGTGACAGAAAGCGGGCCGTCTGCTTACATGGGTGGGCTGCACGTGATGGATATTGGCCTCCGGTGGTACTGAATCCACTGAAAGCTCGGCGCAGCGATCAATTTTCATAAGTAATTATAACAATGACGGCTGTTGATTTCACGTGGAAGAGAAATAATGCATTTAAGCTATGTTTGCTACCCGTTCAAACGCCAACCACATAACATATCGTCCATTAACTCTGCCAAACCCACTCGCGACCGTTCCAGTATCTGTATTTTCCTACTTTTTCATCCCACACCCATCCAGTCGACCCACTAGCCGCGGTAGTTTGTCCACTAGAAGCTGCTTGATACGTCGCTGGTTGCGTCCCACTCGACGTTCCGCTTGGTGGGTTGGAGGGTTCAGTAGGCTGAGGATAAGCTTGGAGCCACTGGTTCTTGCTTAAAACTCTTCCTTTAGATTCCAGAAAGTTCGTTATTTTGTCGTTTAACTCTATTAATCATTAACTCTGTAGTCTCATACACCCTAATAATTGAGTCATACCAGGGAGTGTCATTTCCTTCGCCGCTTGGAGAGAGTAGTAATCTGTATGCTCATGTACAAGTACAAGATCGTCAGGGAGCGGAACACCTCATTTGCTGTCAGAATGTAATTACGGGGAATATACGGTCGAAGCAGCTTACCGCCAGGGACTGCGTAAACAACGACGTTGGCTCCTTTGAACTCCGAGACCAGCTGCTGTTGAAATGCGGAATTTGGACGCATTGAGGCGCCGTTTGGCCTTGTCCTTTATGATTAGCAGGTATCTAAATTTCTTCGAAAGTGATCCACTTACCCCTGTAAGTGTTTGGGTCAAGAACTTTCGCGTTGACCTTGCCTGCGTCCGTGAGGATGTCATAACTGCGGTTTCTCTGGAGTGACCATTCCCGAAGTCTCACGGCGCGGCCATTGTTCACACGGAACAATTCCTTGGGTACCGTCTTGAATACGTTAATAAGCATTGATGCCATGAAGTCGGCGGTACCGGAAAGAGATGAGAACTAACTGAGCTTCACTTGAGCAGGTCAATCTCATTTTATATTGTCCGTCGACAGAACGGGGCGATCGATGCCTTGAGAGCTGCCGCAAGTACGCGCCTCCTCTTCCCCCAATGTGAACCGCCCAGGGCATAGGAAAGTGGAGAATGATTGCGAATTTTCTTTGCAGCACTGCTTTGCCGCCTTTGCCGCCTATCCTTCCAGGAAACGCTTGATACCCGTAACTTCGTCTCGCACCACATCAAGGGAGAGTCGAGCGCGAGTGGGTGGACGTGCTAGGGATTGCTGCATGAACCCTGGTCGGTGATGGTGGTCAAGCGCCTAACCTCCCACACTAAACTTAAAAGTGTCGCAGCAGAAGCCCGAGCTCAGCCAAATCTGAGGTGAGGCGGCGCATTTCCGAGCAGCGTCATCTTTTCTCGTGTCTGGTTGGTTGTGAATCCCGCGGATCTCAACCACTACCAGCATTTTGGGACAACTTATCGAAGAGCTGGTTAACCAAGCGAGCGTTGAGAGAGCTAGACCGAAGAAACATTCAAGCTGCTCCAAGCCCACCTCGTTCACCGCATCGACGAGCGCGCCGGCCAGTCACTCGAAACTTCCTCGCTGAGTCGAAGAGACGTCGTCAAACCGCTCAATACACAACTGACTATCTTCGCTGCTGCGAGCCGAGGATTTTAAAGGACATAAAGCTATTTGCCAGACACGGTGGTCCCAATCTGTCAGACCTGAGGAACGTATGTATTGCAAGATGCTTGCCGGCCTGCACTAACGCTAACGACAATCTCTAGTACCCCGAACCTATCCACCCGTCCAATCACGCGATGAGCTCGAGCCAGTCGAGTTCTCAGAGTCGACAACTGGGTTCTGCAACTACCTCGAGCACCAAGCCCACTACGAATACGACAAGAGCCACTGGGGTTTATGACCGTGCCTTTCAACAACGCCTTGTTGATAATGATGTTTATCCTGATGCATACGAATACCCTAATGGCAGTGTACCTGCTGAGCCAAACAACTGGGAGGATTTCAAACAAATATTGGCACAACCTCGACCGTCTCTTTCGCCATATCAATTTTCTGATGGAGAGTTCAGAAAATTTAAACGATTGGACGCACATGCGGCCAAAGAAAAATAAGTGTCGGAGTCAGTAATTCCTACCATTGAAGGCAAGATCGGGGATGTGAAATGCCGCTCAGGAGAAATCCCGTTCACTAACCTTGACCCTCTGATGGACGGCACGCTTAAGCCCGGCAACCCGGATATCTACTATGGAGCCCGCCCAGAACAGCTTAGTCGAAAGGTCCGCGACGAGCTTAACGGCCGTATCATCCCTTTAACGCAGCACGACCTCCCCATGGCACCAAACTTCTTCCTGGCAGCTAAGGGGCCGGATGGATCAGCCGCAGTGGCCAAACGACAAGCTTGTTACGACGGTGCGCTGGGAGCGAGAGGCATGCACAGTCTTCAGTTATACGGGAGAGACGCACCTGTCTACGACAACAACGCATACACGATGACCTCTACATATCACGACGGCCAACTTAAGATGTATACCAGCCACGTTGCCCCGCCACACAGTCCTAGCGGCCAGCCGCAGTACTACATGAATCAGCTACGGTCCTTCGCTATAACCGACACACGAGACACTTGTGCAGCTGGACTGCAAGCATACAGGAATGGACGAGATTGGGCTGAGAAGCAGAGGAACGAGGCAATTAGGCAGGCGAATGAGAGAGCAAACCCTGTGGAAGCTGCAGCGCCTGCTGGCGATGCGGGCGCTAGCCCGGCTTTAAGCTTCGTGACTGCCGCGTCGGAGACGGAAGCCTACACTATGAGCCAAGAGTCTCAGACACATTTAGATGAAGACTTTGACGAACCCGATAGCTCAATAGAGGAGCTTAAAGATTACATACTCCCAGCTAAACGTTCTAATAGGTCTTCGAAGCATTCAAAGACGCAAAAGCGACGCAATACAGATGTTTCAAGCGGCATGGGACACGACGATGGAAGCACTCTAAATGCCATACAGACTGGTACGGCTGTCCCGCCGCAATGGGTATGGGATAAGGACGCTCAAAAATATCGATACTGGAATGGCAGCAAATGGATCTGGCAGTAAATGTTTTAGGGTATCAATTGAATTTCAAGTGAATAATGAGAACTCAAATATTAGCTCCATATAGTGTCGTTCCTTGTCGCGCCATTGTACCAATATTTGCGCCGTGTGGAAATCGCGCGTAAGCGGGTAGTGCGCTATATCGATGACAACAGACTTCCGATCTGGGTATGCGAGGTTGTAGAATTCATGGGGGTAATTTACGGTGACGGCACCATTGAGGGCGGTTTGGTTGTGTGCGTGCGAAATGTTTTCGTTTAAGTTAGGCGTTTTCCATTGCGAGGTTAAGAAGGGGAAGAGGAGATATTGTGTAAGGCAGAGGCTGCACACGAGCACTGCGCAACCCGCCTTATCACATATCCAATTGCAGTACCTAGTCTAGGCTACAACAATTGCTTCTAGTCTTCCTTCCTAATCGACGTGCATCTGGTATGCGGCTAGCTTTAGGCTCGTGTCGAGGTTTGTTCAGTCGCGTGGGCGAGGGTGGGCACGACATAGCCGGACAGAGGGGTTTATCAGCATCAATTGTGAAGGATTCGGGGTCGGACGATGACTTCTGGCTGCCCTCAAGGGCCTGGAATTTCCCCTGGCAGAGACGGGCTTTTGGGTACACTGGGGGTGTAAAGGCAGCGGCGATGAGCAGACTGCGCGACGCTTAGCGGGCATCGTGCAGTCTTCAGGTCGTGCGCGTTTCGGCGGTGGCATGAAAATGGGGTAGGGAGATGGTATGATTGACGGCTAGAAAGTTCGACATCTGGAGATGTGGGACGGAACGGTTATCTAGCTCGCTGTTACTATTCAATAATAAGCCCAATTCTATTGTCAGGCATTTTGGCCGTTTCTCCGAGTTTCTGCAGAGTGCATCAACGAAGTCCAGCAGAATAGAGCGTCCGGCACGAGTGTCCCCGCATATCTCGATACGGTTGACGTATCGAATGGTGTTGTGTTTAAGAAGTCTAAAGAGCATGTCCGTAAGTTGTTCGTCTAGATATTGAATATCGCACTTCCGGCAGCCCCAGTCTTATATAGAACCATCCATCCTGAGATCCCCTTCGTCATACTGAAGCCGAAGTGGCAGCAGTCCGTATGTCAGGTCCATGACTTCGTCTCGAATCTGTCGGTTGACCTCCAAAAGCCCAATATTGCCCATCGCCCACTGACATGGCGACTGAGACTCGTGCGGAAGAAAGATTGAGGCAAAGGGATGGAGTACGTGCTTGTAAATTTCGTTCCGGATCTCCTGTGGCATAGCGAGAAGCTTTGACTGACCTTTAGGCAGCAATATAGCGTGACCTTTACAGTACCATTGCTCATCTTATACATGTGTGTGGAGGATTGGACGTGCACATCGATACCCGCACATGGGGATTGTTGTACACCGGGCTTTAAGGGAGTGATCGTGTTCCAGAAAATTGAATGAGTCGGACCGAAGTAGTGTATGCACTCGGCGAAGTAGGTTGCCTCACTAGTCTCCAAATTGGATTCGCTGGATCCCTCAACGGATATCCCGGATGCCCAACGCGGATTAGGCAGAGGCCCTGGATTTGGCCAGTCGTCTTCGTATGACATCCTTCGGTTTGCGTGCATTATAATGAAAAGGGAATCCAAGCTGGAGAGAAAGAGAGAGTATATGTAGTAAGGTACTGAATGAATCTTGATAATAGACTGTCTTTTAAGATTGGCGAGAATAAACTTTATATGTACGGCTACGCTAAGCTGCGACCAGCGAATTTTGGCCTAGGACCGCTAATAATATGCTCGGGCGTCAACTTGTGGCAGTGATGGCCACTCCTACATAGTAGGAGGGGCGTCCTGCGGTACGCTCTTGCATGTGAAAGTCTCTTGGAGGTAACGACTCCGGCAAGGCTCCGGGGAGTGGCAGAGTAGGGGAGAAGGCAGCTTCCTGAACTCTGCCACCAGCCATAATGTCAGCCGACGAGGGCTTGCATAATGTCTCATGACGTCCGCAACGATCTACTCATAAACTGTTAGTTGTGGCTGTAGAATACATGCATGGTACAGTTGGGGCGGGTGAATGGTGTAAAGCGTGGGCCGAAATGCGTTGAAGCATCAAGGACTCCGCCCACAACTTGCCGCCAGAGCCTGGGGACTTACCGGTGCGACAGGGCGAAGGTCTGGCTAGAAGGATCTCTGCTATTACGTACTAGATGCTCCACCTACACTTTGCCGCAGCCGGAGCCTGGTCAGTCACCAAAACAGCGCCACCAAGCGTCTATAGACTGGCTGGAAGCTCTCTGGTATCAGGTACTGGGTGCTGCGCCTACACCTCGCCGCATCTAGAGCCTGAAAGCGTATGAACATAGTGTTATCATCAACCCTTGGTATAACTATTCATAGGCATTGGAGCTGAATTGCGGCTGGTAACTCAAAGGGGTAATATCCACGAGCGTCTACATATTAGAGCTCTCAGTCTAGATTCCGTCAATGAATGGAGGAGTATCTGCTGCAAGACCGGCTAGAAAGCCGTCAGACACTATGTACTGAATCATAGATTCGGTGCATAATAGAATTGTCTGGAGTTTGCCGTGTATAGATGTTATCCGCTGCGGCTGCAAGTGGCGGAATAGCATCTCACGACTCCACTCCGGAACAGATTGTCACTACTGTGGTTCAACACACGTATGTGGGGCAGTAAATTACCAAGAAACCCACCATTATACAAGGCAGAACCATGGGGCACAATGTGCAGACTCAACGTGGCAGTGTCAGCTTCGGACGGTCGTCGCAAGGCACATACCCGGCGGCAAGCTCCCGAGCACTCCATTATGCATTCGAGACTATTGGATAAGACGCACTGAGGCGACATGGGAAGGTCAACCTATACGCAAAATCTATTTATACTGCCCGTATTTGGAGACGTCGGTGTCAATCGGCGCTCTAGCCGTCTCAAGACACCGCACCCTGAGGTAACCTACCGAAGATCCTACTATGCGTTCTCACTTCTATTGGATATAACATGCCGATATGATGTGGCAGTGTTATTCCAAACGACCGATCGGTGACACTGGGCGTTCCGGAACCTTTTCATTGCAGCGGGTCTCGTGGCAGTGCGCAAAATGCTCGACGTCTAGAAGACGCCTTGCGGCAGATGCTTCAGGCAACAGTGCCGATAGGTCTCATGTGGATGTTCAGGCGGGAACTCATGTATGCCCCCAGTGTGCGGCGGCAGGCGTAGAGGAACATAAAGGTCATCGCCCTTCCTGGTCTTCTGCACTTCAACTCCCTTTAGAATCCATCGCCACAAAACCTGGCGATCTTATCTTCTGATCCTACTTCCACTCCCATATTTCTGCACCTGTCTACAGAGCCAACATGAAGCTAGAAAATCAGACACCCTCCGCTCGCTTTGCAATGAAACTCCTTCGACGCCAGAAGAAACAGGAGAAGCTACTCGAGAAGCTCCTGAAGATGAGCCGCCAGGAAACTCAACAGCGTTTTCGACGTACTAAGACCCATGGCGCTAACAAGCATGGACCCCGGGCAGAAAAGGGCAAGGACGAATTTCCCGAGTCCAGCAACGAGGCCCGAGCCTAGTCCTTTCAACAGACGAGAATGATGGCAATATCGCGGATGGCCCTAACGGCAGTGGCAGCCAGTCTTCCGCATGTCCTGATTTGAGGATGGGTAGTGCCATTTCTGATGGATCTAAGGATCCTGATGATTGTGATAAGCAGATGGCTAATCAAGACTCCCACACGGTGGCTGACGGCCTGAGTAATGCTGAGGACTTATACCACCGGGCCCACGTCGGGAGCACTGCTCGGAAATTCATTGTAGACGCTAGACTGCCTGGCGAGAAGATGGATACCGGGGGCTCTGGTAAGGAGGCGGCTGCCGAGGGCGCTGAGGAAGAAGCGGGTATCGAAGGCGCTGCACAGGAGCCGAATGCCGAGATTTTGATGGAAATGGATACCGAGGGCCCCGATGAGGCGGTTGCCGAGGCCGCCGAGGAAGAAGCGGTTGCCGAAGATGTTGAGGAGGAGGATGCTGAGGGCACTAAGGAGGTGGTGGCCCCTAGGGCTCCTGAGGGCGCTCAGATGGTAGTTGACGCTCAGGACCTGGAGGAACTAGATGCCGAAGGCTCTGACGAGGAGGTGGATGCCAAGGGCTCTGTTGTCGCAAGCTCGAAGCCTATTCACCTAAAACTTATGGGTCTGTTAAGAACGCCTCCTAATAGCTAAGAGGTCATCGTGATCTCCGACGAAAAAGATTCCAACAAAGACTCTGATAACGAAGACACCAACGGCAAACAACCTAAAAACGAAGATACGACAGTGCAGAAAACAGCTAGACTATCTAGTACGACTTGTATTTAACCTACGGTTACTAAGTTCCCGATAGATTACTACACTTCACCAGAACGAAGGAGGGAAAGCAAGAAGATCCTCGACGCAGGATAGAAATCCGCGGTAGGAAAATTACAGAATGCCTAAGGCGTTGTGGATAATTCCCTCACAGAAATAGAGAGCGTTATGATTAAGAAGTACAAGAAATACAAGCGGGGGCAGCTATACTAAGGGCTTAAAGCTTTAAAGAAGCTACACGCACATATAGATGTTATCAAGAACTACATTAACTTGGTTATTAGCATCTTCGAGGACTTAAAAGAGAAGGAGGCCGATCAACAATACCATATAGCTGATGGTGATGAGAATGATAAAGACTACAAACTACTAAAGGCAGGGCGCAACAGTCGTGGCAACCGATAGACGATTCTCTCAAGATAGGTTAAATAGGTAGAAATAGAGTCTATCACTGTTTTTCACCATAAGGCTGAAACCCTGTCGCTAGCGAAGTCTGTCTTTTCTCCAGCGACTCCTTAAAATTACAGGGTTCGTTACTTCCTAACTAAGCACTAACGGGCTAGTGCTCTTGATCCGTATATTTATTATGCTCCGTTTGTCCTATGTGTAGTCTGGAATATAGTCCACCGGTTCACATAATTCTAGTTCGTAGTCTGTTTCGCAACCTTTGCCACCCAAATCCACCTCATTTCCCCCGTTCACGTTGGGCAGATGGGTTGTAAAGATATGCAGCTACTTGCGAAGGAAGTATGCTAGTTCTGTTAGATGGGGCTTTTAATCGAAACAGAACCACTTCCCTGTTTAAGCTGCGCAAATCCTGGAGTAACTCTGTTTAATTCTTGTACAAGCCTTGCGTGCTTCGTTTGGTGCTAATATAGCAATATGCACATTGTCCGACACGTTTCCTGCCATTTACAAAGTTTCTGCTCTGTATTTCCGCACCAGAATGTCTCTGCCTTCTATTCAGCGCGGGTATTGACATGGTAGCATATCTCTTTCTTTAACATTTGGAGAAGTTCTATATGCAGGTTAGGATGTTCAGCGGGCGTCGGCAAGCTTTGGGCATCGTAGAGAGTAAAGCCTCTCTACTGCCCCCGTGGCGATTCGCACAGGCAGCGGGCTGCATGACCTAGACGCATGAAGAGCGGCAAGTTCTACCCAGTGGACTAGCAGAGGAAGCCCTATCACAAGGCATGCCCGCGCCTCACCACCCTAACTGCGGCAATGCCCTGCCTAAGAGACATACGAGTATTGGTGGAGGCGGCCTAAAGCCTCCTGTCTACCTCCTCTAGGATGACGCCGCCCCTAGCTCCCTATTTTTGCCACTAACGTTTAATCCCGCCCTATTTGCGCTCGTGTCACCGCTCAACAGATCCTCCCCTTCGTGGCTGAAACGGAATAGTTGTAAGCTATGGGCGGCGGCCAACTCTGAGCACTTATCCACCGTGGAAGGAGCTCCAAGATCCGCATCCCGTTGTCACTGCTGAGTACAGTGAGCAAGTCTGCAACAATCAGTCTGCCTTGTTAAGCTACACATGCAGGGTGCGGCACGGAAAACCGCCAGCAACATCTTGCCATGCATCCATAACTCCAAACCGCCTTCAGCATAGTGGTGGTGTGCATGCCACAGCGGCAATAGTCACACCATGTCAAGGGGGCCACGCCGTCCTAATCCATCTAGAACTCCGTTGCGAGACAGACAGCTAGAAAACAGGGGCATTACCAATTATAACTACGCTATTGTTACAAAGGGGGTGGGGCACAGCCGTGACGTACTAGGGAAAAGGGTTCCAGTCTGCCTTACTCGATCAAAACACCAAAGCCAGGGGAGACATGGTTCACTACAAGCTCGATACCTCCAATCGAATCAGAGGCGCTGACCGAAGCGATCCTGGGCTGGCCGCCTGCATGACACGGTACAGAATAGGGCAGCATGCCCGGCGGGTGGTGCCTTGGTGTTTAAAGATACCGCCCGTGGACGAAACGTAGCGACAAATCCAACAGCTGCTAGAATCTTTCCATTTAAGGGCTCCAGCTATGACTGTAGTGACGCATCGCTGATACTGCAGAGCCGTCTAACTTTCTATATCCCCGGGCGCAGATAGGCTGTTTAGTCGGACCGCTCCCTCTACATCGCTATTCCCAGAATGACTAAGCGTCTAATTAACTTCATAATACTACCCATACACAGAACGACCATGTATAGTATCTGCGCAAGTATGCAAGCCTGTCCGGGTTAGATTATGTACTATCAGGAAGTAGAGACGCACCAAAAGGATACTCTGACGGAGATGGTTTATGCGCTGGTCGGTAAGCGATAGAATGTAAAAGGCCACCGCTCCGCATATCTGAAATAATGCTGCAATTGCGTTGGCAACGATAAAACACCCAGCGAGCGTAGATATTTGCGATCGCGCCGGCCTTCTTCGTGGGAGAGCAAGTGCGTTCGTCGAGCGCCGCACCAAAGCGCTATTGACGCAAATGATGCCATGATGAGGCATGAGAGTAGTGCGTACTCGTAAACGAAGTTGTCGCTGCCTAGAATGAGAGCCGTTTAGAAGAGGGACAAGGAACTCGTACCGCGTACGGAAGGCAATAGTAGGTGTAAGGAAGACGATGTGACTATGGGTTAGCCATATAGCCCAGTGCGGAAGATCGAGACCCCGGAGAGTCCAGGTAAGCTGCCAGTATGAGTTCATGAACTAATAAGTAGGGAGCACGCTTACAGTGGTAGCGAAGGACAGCTGAAGCGTACACAGGATGATGGGGTCGAGCCAATGGGGCTCAGTGTCTGCGATGAATTCGATCGCGATGGCGACGATGCCCGCTATTGACAATCCTGCTTGATAGATGCTGAAGAGGAGACTGAGGAGAGACACTGTTGTCCGCCAAAAGGAAACGTGCCCGTTTTTCCCAAGCAAGTAAACATTCTTGAATAAGAGAACAACGCTTAGCAGAGAGCCGCCTACGAAGCAAAGAAGGAAGCCAATAAGAAGGCCGAAAGCCATAATGGAGGAGATATGATCCGCTGAGCTCTGGTGCGAAGGCACTCTTTATCTAACAACAACCTTCCCTGTCTCCAGCCTCGGGTAGCCTGGCACGGCCGATGGCAAGGATCGTATCAGTGTACCAATACTGCCTACGCCCTTCGACCCGCCTTCAGGGGAAACGGGCGTGAGGAGGTGGCCACCCTTCCGCTAATACAACCCCTTGACATCTGAGCCTCGATCCTGGCGTGGAAAGACGCTTGACCAAAGCGTGCGTATCCCGAGCACCCAAGGCTCGCATTCGTTGGAGCTCAGGATCCGGGATGCCTCCAAGCCGTGGCTGGTTGCTTCACGATTCGGCGCTCCGCATGAATCCCCTTGCTAGCTGAAGCGTAGCTGGCGCTAGTGATGTTGTGGCGGACGGGTGTTGGTCTTGCATGTCCGTGCCTTGCAGCGGCAAGGCGAGGTGGGAGGTGTCGTCGAGTCTCCGTTCAGCTGCCTGCACTCTCGTCATATTGGCCGCAGGATCACTTCCTCAACTGACTTGGTGCGGCTTGGAGGCGCAGGGGGTGCGCATGAACGGCGGTGGAGTCTACGTCCATAGTATTGCGTCTGAGTGTGCCTTGCTTTCTCAGCCGCCGTAGCAGGGAGGAGGATAAGAGACGTACCTGCCACTTTGCTTTGTCCTCTTCGCCCGCTTCATCCGCTTCCTCCTCTTCTTCTTCTCTGCTTCTTCTTCATCCGCTTCGTCTTCATCACCAGCTTCGGTGCATTCCTATCCAGCAATGCCACAAAGCCCAAGCGATTCCTTCTCCACCATTGAGGACAACACTCTCTACGAGAGAGGACATGCTATTAAACCAGGAGTGCCCGAGGAGGGAGTGTCTAGGGAGGAAGTATGTGGGGAAGAGCAAAGTCGAGTTAGTGACACGGTTGTGCGTACTTCCACCAGGCGCTTACCTGTCATCATCGTAGCTGGCAGATCCGCACGGCGGTATACTGTCTCCGGCAGGCCCCGTATACCGGGGCAGCAAACGCGTGGACCACTTTAATAAGAAGCGGGTTCACTTCCAGGATTCAGATTCGGACGTGGACGATTCGCCTCCCAGTGTTAAGAGAAAGGTTGCTGGAACAGTGAGTATATTTTAAGAATGCATAACGAAACAAGAGTCGCTCATGAATGGGTAGGGGGAAAGCTCGGCCTCACGAATAGCTACGGAGAAGATACAGGATCTGGAAGTGAGGATCGAAGCGCTAGAAGAATGGAAGGTGAAATGCGTATATGCCATTCAAGAGTGGTCTAACATGAACCAAATATTCACGCAACATCTCACAACGCTCATGGAAGCTCGTGATACTGGTGAATAGCGTAGGAATATGCTATGCATAGTGTACAGGTTATTGGGCAGAAGATTATAAGCGTGTGGACTTCGCGTGGAATCCTGTGATGTTAAAATGAAACTTGGCGCCTGCGCACCTTAGTCATCATGCCGAGCTGCTCTGACATGATCCATCCTCCTCACGTGTCTTGGGCTGCGCCGATTCGGTCAAATGATGCGACTTGGAACGATCCTCTTCTTGAGCCCGCCGGCAATGGCCTGGCGACTTTATTACCGGAGGTGGGTACAGCGTTTCCTCACTAGTGTTAGAGGTGGGCAGAAGTGTAGGGGAGGTGCATACGAGAGTATCTCGATCTGGTGGTGACCACGGCCGACCTTTCTCTTCTGATACGAAGCCGGTAAATCGGCCATTGCGATAGGCTACAAAGTAGATGTGGGCGTCATATTCGGTGCACAGCTTGGTGAGCTTTGCGTAGAGAGTCCGAGTTAGCTTTGATGTTGCCGGATATGGTTACTACTTCACGTGACCTGGTTATGTATATATATAGCCATATTTCTCGTATTCTCAATTAATCAACTCATGTCTCAATACTCTGCAATTTACCTAATAGTTATGAGCCCGGATTTGCCTACTACTACAAATTAAACCTGCTAAGTTCATTTAACACAATTAGACGATAGAGTTACTAACTTATACACCTCGTCGTCGCTAACAGATTCTAGAGTTGCTCTAGAAATACGCCGTACACGATCGAATTCGCCCTGCGCACCACGATTTCTACGATAGAGGACACTGTTACAGTTACCAACGTTACGAAAGCCGTTAAGATCCTTAGTGTACCGCAGGATTAGCCTTACTAGAAGTTTCTTGTAAAGGAAAAGGCTACATAATATAGGGTTTAGGCCTACTACAACCTAGATCTAAAAGAGATAGAACGTAAGAGAATCTAGAAGAAGCCTAAACGCCTAACGCTATTAACAATTAAGTAAGAAGCTATAAAAATAGAGAACCTTAACGCTAACAAAAAGTTAGAGTACTAGAACTAGAAAGAAAGGTATAAGAAGAACCTTAAGAAGCACCTTCTTGTATAGAAAGGTCTAAGAGAAGTATTAGTATATATTACTATAATAATTAATACCTACCTTATACTATATATTATAGACAAAGACATAGCTTATAAAAGACTTATAAGCTTAAAGAAATAGGTTGCTATAACTAACGCGTTACGTTAAGACGTACTACTAGAATAATATAAGAAAGTCTAGAAGACCTAAAGGGGTAATAAACTAGATAACTAGCTTAATAAATAGATTTAGATTACTAACTATATAGCTAAACTTAATATACTAGACGTATAGAGTATATAAGCCTAGAGAGAGCTACTTAAAGCTCTTTAACTAATTAATAAGGCGTACTCTACGCTTAGAATTACGTAGCTATTTACCTAGCTAGAAAATTAAGCTTTTATAGTTATAGATCTTGTTGTAGAATTTAGATAGCTATAGAGAGCTACTAAACCTATTATAGCTAGCCTAGAGACGTATATAATACTAGGTATAGTAATATAATAATAGAACTAGAGCTAGAGACGTAGTAAGTTTTAAGAAGAGATACTAGAGTGCTTTTATAGATGTTACTACTAGTTTAGTAGATACTCTTATATTAACCTAAAGATCTACCTAATAGGCTAGAAGCCTAACGCGAAAATTTAGGCTAAGTTTAATAAGAAAAAGAAGAAAAAAAAGTAGGCTAAAAAGTTTAAATAAGCTACTAATTAGGAAACCTCTAAATAGTAAAATAAACCTACGCTAAAAGCAAGCACTACTCTACTAAGCTTTAATAATAACAAGCTAATAAGTAGTACTTCTTTTACTAACTCTATATTCTACTTCTTTAGTGTAATAGCTAAGGTTTTAGAAACTTAGAAGGTAGTTCTAATAGCTCTACATCTTATTAATAGGTAGATCTATAACTCTAGCTCTAATATTTACGTCTGTAACTTAGAGAATTAGGGCTAGAAAAGATAGTAGAAGCTAACTTAAACGTTGTTGTATACGCTAGAGGGTAAGCTATAAGAGTTAAGGCTTAGAGAGAGGTAATTCTCTAGACTAATACCCTATTAGAACTAACTCTAATACGCCTTACCTATGTAGCGTTAGTAGAGAGCTTCTTTATAAACGTTATAGAGCTTACGCGCTCTTAAGACGTTAGAATCTACTTTAACTCTAGTAGAGACGTTCTATATAAGAACAAGTCTAGTAATATAGTCTATAACTTAGAGTATAAATAAAGGTACTAGCTACTTAACGTAGACGAAAATAGCTACTCTAATCTATAGAAAATATTTACTATATTTATAATAGTATATTAACTATTAAAGAATCTATAACTAGCGATAATTACTACTAGAGCTAAGGCCTATTAACTATAGGTATACCTAAACAAGAAAGCTATTACGTACCTAGAAGAGGCTATTACTAGCTTTAAGCTTAAGAAGAATATACCTCTAGTTAACTAGAAGAACTATAATACATATATATAGTTAAAAATAAATTATTAAGTCTTTTAGAGACCTAGATTAACGCCTATAAAGCGTCTCTTCTACTAAATAGAAATAGATTTAGTTTAACTACTACTAATAGAAGAAATCTATTTTAATAAGAATAAGTAGAGACTTTATATAATTAATAAATTCTTAGGCTAGTATAAAGAACGTACGTTACCTATAAAAAGTAGAGTAGTATTAATACCTACTATACGTAGAATAATTACTAAACTATAGCGTTAATTTAAGTACTTAGTTATTATACTTAGAACTAATAATAAGAAGAGTTTTAGTAATAAGCTTACTAAGATCTATATTAAATTAGGTATTAAATATAAGTCTAGCTTACCTAAGACGCCTAAGTAGAATAGTTATATAAAGAAAGCTAGAGACGTAATAATTATAAAAAGCTAAGTAATAAGAATTATAGCTAGATTACCTAAGAAGCTAGCTTTAAAGCTGTTTATTATAGCTATTTAGATTCTTAATCCTACGCTAATTAAATTAAATAGCTAGAAAACTTTATATAAGATAGTAATAGGTTATAAACTATTAGTAGCTTATTACGCCTCTATTAGCTATTAAGCGTATATTTATAGAAAGAACCTTAAGAAAGCTAATAAACTAGAAGTACGTACTTATATTAGTTATCTACTAGAATAGAACTTCTTAAATATCTTTAGAATCTAGATACTCTTAAAGAATAAGGTTATCTAAACTTAAAACGTCTTGTTTATACGCGACAAGCTATATAAGAATAATAGTAGTAAATATAAGAAGTCTCTAGTAGTTAATATAATTAATATTAAGGTATATAATATTTCTTATAAAGAGCTTATAGTAGAGGCTAAAGATCTACTACTATAGAGCTAATTACGCCTATTTAATATAACTTTAAATAAATAGACGTTAATACTAGAGTAATATATACTAGCTAAAGAATTAGTAAAAGAAGACCTAGAAATACAAATCTAGAAGAAGTAATAATAAGCTAAGAAGCGTAATAAGTCTCTAAGAGGTTACTTAATTACTCTAGCGTTATTAAGACACTCTACTCTATATAGTAAGAGCTTAAGAGGCGCGTTAAGAAAGACTAACCTCTCTAAGCTAAGCTTATCTACTATTTAAGCTAAATTACTATAAAGACCTCTTAGAGCTATAGAAGACTCTAAATATATGCTAGATAGGTACTAGAATAATACTCTACTACGTTAAAACCTTAATTCTAAAGACCTAAGTAATATAATATAGAGTAGACGCTATAGATACTTTTTTCTAAGGCCTAAATATATAGCTAGCGTAATTAAAGTATAAAAGAAAGCTTAAATATTTAACTTAATACTATTAATAAACTTATATAACTACGTACTTATAGCTTTAGTAAGCTATATTAATAAACTAAGAGTTAATAGAGAGCTTATAAGGTTAAAACACTACTATAATTAAATACTACCTCTATCTAAGCGTTATAAGAATATTAAAGGCTATATATTTAAAGCTAAGTTTAAAGAGGCTATATAGAAGAAGTTTAGTAACTACTTTAAGAAAGAGTACTTTAAGAAGACGTTAGTAACGCTAGCGTTAACTATAGTAGAGTACCTTCTACTTATATAGGTATTATTATATAAATTTAATAAAGACGAATATAATAGTTTAACTCGACTTCGACTTAGTACTTTAGCCTAACTCGGCTCCGCCTAAGTTATATAACTCTGCCTAGCGCCTTAGCATAGGCACTCTATATATATAGAGAGCTCTTAAAGTATTCTTCTACTTCTTACCTTTAGATAGCTAAATTTAACCTAATCTACTCTACTAGCACTCTATTCTTATAGCTTGTAGAGACAGTGCTGCCTATAGCTAACTTACCTAGCTAGGTGTTCTAGAACGCTTACAGTAGTAGAGACTGCAAACCTAGCTCTTACATTATCTAAAGGTTAATACCTCTTTAGCTAGAGACGGCGGCATAATATCTAGCTAAACTAAGTAGCCTTATTAAGAAGCGTTTACTAATAGCTATATTAAGGATTAGAGCTACGAGAGCCTAGTCGCTTACCCTAAGAATCTATTAACGTTACTAATTAATCGCTTACCCCTTAGCGCTGCATAAGACCTACTGGCGGATCTAGTTAGCGGTAGAAAGATACTAGCACTAAGCTAAAGAGAGCTATCGAGAGCTCTGTGTACGGGAGGACTTCTACAGAACTCCTACGTGCGGAAACTCTCCCCCCCCCCTTTACGAAATTACGAAAAATCGACAATCCTCTGCTCTGCTAGCAGAGCTAACAATCTCTCTGCACCGCTAGCAGAGCCGACAACTAGCTGCCCTGCTAGCAGCCGATACCCCCCTTGTTTCGAAAGCCGACAATTCTCTGCACTGCTAGCAGAGCCGACAATTCTCTGCACCGCTAGCAGAGCTAACAACCAGCTGCCCTGCCAGCAGCTAATACCCCCCCCCCTGCTTCGAAAATCGACAATTCTCTGCTCCGCCAGCAGAGCCGACAACTAGCT